GCATGAGTCGACGGACCACACCCTCGTCCGACGAGTTTCGGGACGATCTGGATTTCGACGTCTTGACCTGGGAGAATGAACTGGCGCGAGAACAGGCGCGACAAGCGCGGAGACGCCAGGGAGGTCGGCAACGGGACTTATCGGAACGTCTGGAAGGGCACACCACGCCTTTGGCCGTGGGCGTCGGACGGTCCCCCCTCCTCACGCCGACGGGGGTACGGGATGCCTTGCAACGGGCCATGGACCTCTCGGGCATCCCCACGGCCCCGCCGGCCGGGGTAGGCGTCACGCCCAATGTGTCGTCGCCGAGTGCGGACATGCCCAGCGTGGCGGCCATCCGGACCGCGGCCCGGGTCTTGCCGTCGCCCACGTTTAGTCCCCGACAAATCAGCGTCATGGAACAGATTCTTCGAAACGAGGTGCCCGAAGACGAAATCGATGCCCTGTTGAACTCGGTGGGGCTCGAGTTTAACAATTTGACCGATTACATTGCCGAACGTCCACGGTCGCCCGCACGCCCCCCGCCGGCCGCGCTCACGACCCAACAAATCGACGTCATGGAACGGATTGCCCGAGGGAATTTTCGACCCGGGCAGATCGAGGAGATGTTGAGGACCGCGGGTCTCACCAAGGACCAATTACGCGACTATGTCATCAACCGTCCCGCAACCCCCCGGACCCCTTCACCACCCCGACCCCGAGGCCGAGGTCGAGGTCGAGGTCGAGGTCGAGGTCGAGGCCGGGGACGCGGCGGGGTGCCACCCGGAGGAGGAGGTGGTGGGGGCGACGACGATGGAGGCTCGCCCGGGGGCGGCGGTGGCGGCGGTGGAGGAGGGGGCCGTCGTGGCCGTGGCCGTGGGCGTGGCCGCGGCACCCCCCCTCGACGACGAGCGCGCATGAATCAAGACGAATTGCGACGACAGATGGATCTGTTGGCCGAAGATGCCCGTCAACGGTCCGTAGGGCGCCGCATTGCCGGCATCACGCATACCAATACCGTCACCACGGTCTACAAGGATGGAGGAGAACCCGAAGTCTATCGCACGTCCTCGCGTTTGTCCACCCCCAACACGGTATAAAAAAAGCACGGAGACGTCCTGGGACGGCCAAACGTCCAGATGCCACGACGGAAACGACGCCCTCGTCGACGACGTCGATCGCAACGAGGTGGCGTGTCGCCGGGACTCATCACGGGGATTTTCAAGACGGCGCATAAGACCACCAAAGCCATTGGGGAGCATCAACAAAAAAACGTCGAAAAGATCAGTCGAAAACGAAGAGCCGAGGTGGCGAGTGGCAAGCGCAAAAAGTACGCGGGGAATCGTTCAACTGCCCCCTACGCGAGCCTGACGCTATAAAAGAGACCAGGCGACGCGGGTGACGCTATCACACGGCATCATGGTTCGACGCCGACGACGACGCACCAGTTACCGACGCCGCCGACGCCACTACCAACGAGGGGGGATTTTACCCTTTCTCATTCCTCTAGGCCTCTTAGCCGCCAAAGCCGCGGCGGCGGGTGCCATTAGTGGCGGCGTGGGGTATGGTGTGAAGAAAGCCCTCGATCGTCGAGGAAGACGATGAGAGACCCTATAAAAACAGAGTCCGTGCCCGATCCCGTTCCATTGGCAACATGGTCCGACGCGGTCGGAGACGACGACGACGACGACGACAACGAGGGGGCATTTTACCCTTTCTCATTCCTCTGCTGGTCGCTGGCGGCAAGGCCATTGCGGCCGGGGCGGTGAGTGGCGCCGCGGGGTACGGGGTCAAGAAAGGCTTGGAGGCCGCGACGCGCAAGAAACGCGTGGGGAAAATCTCTTGGGCGCAGGCGCAGGCCAACCAGCGCCTGGTTCGTAACATGATCAACCGATGGAAGACCGGGGTCAAGTAACCCTATAAAGACCCCCTGGACCGTCGACCGTAGGAGGACACCATGGTGCGACGCTTACAACGACAACTGCCGTTTTTACGGAGCGTGTTGCGCGAAGCCGACCAGCAGGTGAGACGGGAACGATTGCAGCACGCCAATGCCGATCAAGTCAATGCCATCAGTGAGTTGGTGATGAACACCTTGAAAGGGAATGTGACCGTCCCGCCTCGACTCTTGGATCCATTGCGTCTGCACAAGCAGGCCTTGCGCGACATGGCGCGTCGCAAACATTCCATAAAACGGCGACGGCAAGTCATGATGGCTCAAACCGGGGCGGGCATGTGGCACGCCTTGGATCGCGTGTGTTGTCATTGCCTGTCAGGATGAGTCACGGGCCGTACCAGAAAAAGTACCTGGTGTCCCCGGCGGACATGGAGCGGTTGGTGGAACAATACAAAGGCACGTTGATGGAGAATTCGCGGTTGACGCATGCCGCGCGGTTGGCGGCCAAACAACACGTCTTGTTGGCCTCCCCCGAGATCCCGCCGGCCACCAAAAAGATCCGCGTCAAAGCCCTGGGACCCGCGGTACGTCGAGCCACCAGACGCGTGCGGACCATGTCGTTGCCGGGAGCCGGAGGCGCGGTAGCGGGGGCCGACGACGACGACGAGTTTGCTCAAGCACCCATGGAGACCTTCTTGAAAACGCTTATAAAAAGCAGCACGCCCCAACCCAAGGCCACACCCAAAGGCAAGCCGAAAGTCCCGCCCAAGCCGAAGTTCTTGACCAAAACGCCCAAGACACCCATCTCGGTGCCGTTACCGGACGACGATTGGGAAGAGGAATTGGCAGAGCCCATTCCCAGCACGTCCAAGAGCAAGACAACGCCGACCTTGAGCAAAGGCAAGTCGCCGCTCACCACCAAGAAACCGCGCTTTCGCTTTAGTCAGCAGGCGGCCAAAGAGGGCAAGAAACTGGCCAAGGAAGTACTGAAGTTGAAACGACAACCCGGCTGGAGCGAGTGGGGAGAAAAGGTGCAGCGGAAACTGCATGGCAAGGACTACTAGACGCCGCCGCCGCCGCGCGTCGCGCCGTCGCCGGCGTCGCATGGTCGGTCGGGGCTTGGACGTGCAAAAATGGTTGGCCAAGACCGGCATCGAATTTCATTGGCCGGGGTAGCAATACATGGGGCCAGGCACCCATTTGGAGAAACGCCTGAAGCGCGGGGATCCCGGCATCAACCGATTGGACCGCATTGCCAAACAACACGACATTGATTATTCTCGCGCGCGCTCGCATCAGGACAAGTGGAAAGCCGACGACAAGATGATTCGCGCCATCACTAACCTCCCGGGGAAAAAGACCTGGACCGAAGCCTTCGTTCAAAAAATCATGCAAGCCAAACGCAAATTGAAACTGTAACGTGTTTAATTGAGGCAAAGACTTACATGTGGTTGATCTAAAGTAGAGTTCTAGCGACCGAAAATAAAGGTGTTTTTTGTCAGTGTACGGTTTACATCTCAGTCGATCCATCACGTCCCACTTGAAGATTGTTTTTTACAACACACTTAATATCGTCACACTTGTCCCCGATTTTTTCCCGTCCTAGGCTCGTTCCGAGCATCCCTCATGACATTCGCTCCAGTCCACGGGTTCCGACCATTCGGCGGGCATCATCACATACATGACCTCGGTGGGGCTCAAACCCACGTCCTTCTCGGTGGGGCATTCACGCAACAGTTTTTGGCATTCGTCACACCGTCCGTAGACTTTAAAGACGGGTCGTTCACAAAGGGCTTCCTCGGGCACGATCTCGGCTTCAGCTAATAAGATCTTCAAGAAATCGAAGGCAGGGTGGATCTTCACGGCTGTCGGTAAAGGCAGCATCTCCTTGGTGAGACCACAACAAATCATCGCCCGTAATTCGATCGGTTCCGAGGGTGGTAAGGTCTGGGTCTCGGGGTCCCATTTCGTGAGGTACGAGAAGATGCCCAACAGTCGCTTGTTTATTCGATCGGAATTGCCCGTGGTCAAACATCGGAGCAGCGCCGGCAATTCCTTGCTCATCAGGGTAAAACACCAGGAAGCAGGGGACGGTAAACAATGGTGGGAAAACATGCGATACATCCACTCGCATTGTTCCTGGGATTCGCTCTCGATGCGGACTCCGTCTGTAAAATAAACAAAAAACACAGTTCAGTCCGAGTCGGGCGGTGCCGATTTGCCCACCCCATAATAATGGCAATCGCACACCCACCCGCTGTGGTGGTAACACTCGGCCGAGTCCAGCACGGGGTGAGGCCCTCCACGCTCTCGCTTGGTCAAGAAGGTGTGCACATTGGTCCGTTGCGACTGTACCAGCACAAACACTCTGCATAAAAACCAAATACAATGGCAAGGCGCTCGCGGCCAGGTGTGCGCGTGCCGTAGAGGGTATGGGTGAACAACGCGTTCCAACGTACCTCTGGCGATGTTGGCGCCTTGGTGAACAGAACAAAAACAGTTTGCCTCGTTGCCAACAATCTTCAAAGGGGACGCCATGGGAAAGTTAGCCGGTGTCAGAACAGGAACCAAACATGAACAACCAAGTGACCCTTGGCAGTGAAAATGCAGCGGGCTTTCCCCGGCTCTCTATATACCCTCCTCGTGTCTAGGTCCCGGGCTCTCTCGACCCACCCTCAACAGAGGGGGGATGGGGGGGTATCCCCCCCTCTTTGAGGGCTTGGTTAGAGGGGGGTCCCCATCAATGAGACCCCTCTTCCCAACCCATAAAAGGGCCTCTGTCCTCCAGTCGACTCCAAACGCAATCTTCATGAGTTCTTACATGCTATGGTGTGGCCTTTTACTGTGGAGTACTGTCTTTTGTGTGCGAGGGAACTGGTCCGAGCCGTCATCCGTACCCCCTGTTGCCGCGTGCTGGTCCATAAAGCCTGTTTGTATGCCGCCTTGGCCATCACTCCGTCCCGTCCGACCCCCACGTGCCCTCACTGTCAACAAGAGTTGGGTCTGGCCCGTTTTCGACGCTTGTGTTGGCGTTTGTCGGGTAAGTGGAGTCCATGGTTTGAATGTCCCCTCGCCCCTGTGTCCCCTTCACGCTCATTCTTACCATGGGGTTTACTTACAGAGCATGGATCCACCGCCGCCGCCACCACCACCGTCTTCCGCTGGTCCTCCCGACGACCACGACGAACGGGTAAGTGGAACCCATCGGTTGAATTCTCCCGCGCCCCTGCTTACCCCCCTTTTCCCGCGTCCCTAGCACCCCTGGCTCATTCTTCCTTTGTTCGTTCCACTTAGGGGTCACCACGACCACGTCCACCACCACCACCATCGTCACCACACCGCGACGCCAGGCCATTGCAGGTAAATGGTTCATTTTTTCACCCACGGGGGAACCGACTGGGCCGTGATGTGAACCTGAGCCCACCCCGGTTTGGTCGAAGACAAACCGGGACAAGTCAGTCCCTCTCCGTTCTTTCTCGACTTAACGGGATGTCTTGCGTGATGGAGACCTTGTGCTCCAAAGGATCCGACACCCTGTTTCTCTCCGTCTCGCTTTGCTGAATTTGGGGTCGTCTTCCAGTAGGGCTGTGATACCTGGCAGCAGGTGGAGTCCACGTTGCCCCCTTTCCCCTTTTCCCTTACGGGTAGGTTTAATGGTTGGCACCTGTTTTAGAAGCTGTCTCTGTTTTTTTGGTATTTTTTGTATTCTGGCCGGTTTTTCTCATAGGAGGAGCAGGTTTTCACTGTTGGACTTTCTTGGCTGTCCTCTCCACTATTGTCTTCGTGCTGGACAATCACTCTTCCGTTTTGCGCCACTTGGGAAAGGGGTGGGTCTCCTTTCTTGATCGTCTCCTAGCTTGGTGATCTGGAGGAGTTTGGCGAGTCTCCTCTGGAGGGTATCCTTTTGGCTATTCTCCCCTGGTTGGGTCGCTTGCCTTTGTCTTTGCTTTTTGTGTCGTTCTGCAGATCTTCCCCACCGTATCCCGGAACTCTCTGGACGTGGCCCTCTGTGAACATGAAGGTCCAACAGCTCGGACTCTGGCCTTTTCTCGAAGTAGGGTGCATTTCCTGCCCAAAATCCAGTGACAGCAAGACCATCGGGACAGACCTGCTTGAGCCGACCTTGGACCAAGACGCAGCCTGTTGGTTCACGTACCTTTGCCGAGGGGTGCATTTCCTGAGGCCGGGGAAGAACGAGTGTTGACAGACCCACCAGATCAAGCAGTGCTGACGCTGGGAAAAAGCCACCTGACAAGCATGGTTACTCCAGACATCCACGGGTGTGTCCGCTTGGATCTGGTAACAGGGCCACCTGAAAAGAAATACCATTCCTTGTGATCTGGTTCGAGTTGCTGTTGGATAGCTTGGAGTCATCCTTTGGGCTCATTTTAACAATGCTGTTGGAGATACGGTTGGAGCCAATCCTTGCAGTTCTCCCTGTTGGACCACACACCCTGGTGATGTCCCCTTGTTGTATGCAGTTATGTTCGCCGAGCAGAAGTCGTCAAGCTGCGAGGCCTTGAAGGGCTGGAGTTAGCTTCCTTTCCATCGCTGTGGCCATTGCGCCTAGAGAAGTGGTTTCGTCTGACAGACCTCGCGGATGGATCACCACCACGGACCCTCTCTGTCGTCGGCGATGACAAAACAAGGGAACGCGTGTGTGAATGGTGGGAGTGGTATTGCAAAACAGTGACAGGTCCCCAACTCTACCTCACAGCCTGGCCAAGCGGACTGGACATTAACACCCTGTCTCGGGTGTCGTTTGAAACTCCGTCGCGGTCTACCTTGGACTCTGTGATGCTGATGCTGATGCCTGACTGTGTGGCTTCGTCGGTGCTTTCCTCACCAAGACACATCCTGTTGATTGGCTTCTTTGGTGACTTTTTGGCGGAGAAACCCAGTTCTCAAGGCCGTCTGTCACTAGGCCTTCTGTATCCATCCGTTTGAGATCTCCTCGAGCACGTGACGAACGTTGTGCGAAACATCGGCTTCTAGTGGAGTACTTCTTGGATGGTTGCCTGGGCAAGTCGTCTGTTTGTGCGCTCTCGCCGATTTTTCATTGGCTTGTCCTTGCATTCCCCTTGGAAGAAATGGAAGTGGTTAGGTCACACCCACACAGAGACTGACGAGTCGAACGCGTTGTGTTTGGGGGAACATTGTGGTCCCAGAACTCCCTTCTCCTCCACAACGAGCAAGACCTTTCCATAGCCATGCCATACAGACCCAAGCAAGTCCACCTTTCGAGGGGCGTCATCCGTTCCATCACCTTGGTTTTTTGGGTGGGACATCTGTTCCAGCCTTTCTTTATCATCGTTTGGATGTGTTGACTGCTTGTTCTGCCGACTCCCTGGTCCCAACCAGTCTTTCAGTCACTGACACAGGAGTCACCTGACTCATTTCACTGTCACAGGGTTCCTGATGCATTCCAATCGGTGTTGGATTCGTGGAAGTTCATCATCGAGGTCCATTGGACTGTCAGAGCTCCATTGGTTTTTTGTTCGATATCGGGCGTGTTTTCTTCTGGAAGGAGAGAGGTATTGGGAGATTTTCCTGGGCTTTGCAAGATCCTGCACGAAACCACCCCCTTTGTATGGAACCACATGGGAAGCCCGTCGTGCATACCTGTCTTTTTCTACTTTTGTAGGTACAGGTTTGTCTTGGCTGTATTGCATGTGGATGATGGAAGCTATTGGTCGACGATGGGATGTGATTCTTTCAATGTTGGTCTGCCGGGACCAGCTGCTGCGCCCCGAGGTTCAGGCCGCGGGTTGCTGTCAAGACCTCTGGTGAGCCCTCTCTGAGATGGACATTTTTTCTATCATCAGCAGCATTCTCTTTTTTTGGCTTGGAGTTCACAAGTTGGAGTGCATGGATGAGTGGTTTGGACTTCCCCGTTCGAGGCATCTCTGTCTCTGAGACGCTCTGGTCATGACGCTGTTTTCGTCTGTGATCAGAACCCTCTGCTTCTTTGGCATTGTATGTGGACACTTTTTCTGTTGGGCGTGAGCTGCATGGTGCACTCTTTGGCGGTGATATCAGGTTAGGGTCACTGGGACTTGGTAAGGGTCCCGAGCAAACTTGAGAGGCTGGAGAGCTTGACGTCGACTCGGATCGGCTTGCCTCGGCGGACACTCGTGTTCAAGGTGCGTTTCTCCTACTTTCAAGGTAGGTTTCTCCTAACTGACTTTTATCCCTGGGAATTGACTGGCATGAGAGCCTAGGTGTGTATGCTGCTACTGGGGAAGGTATGCTGCTGCTGGGTTTGGACAAAGTAGGGTGTGTATTGTAGCTGGGAAATGATGGGCCCACCATCCCCTGCACTAGGACGTTCCTGGGGAAAGGTCCTTCTCTGCCACAAGGGTCTTGGTGGTGTGTTCTGCGTGTCAGGTGCTCGTGTTTGTCAACCGAAAGGGCCGGTCTACCAGCTGGAGTACCTTCTTTTGGCGCAATTGGCCTTCTCAGTCATTCCTGGTTGGACTCCCCAGTTGTACTGTTGTGCCAAGTCACTCTTCACCCCTCCTTTCTTGTTTTCTCTTCCCCCTCTTTTCCCGAGTGGTGCCCCACCTAGTCTGCGTCCTGTTTCCCCACCCCCATTCACCTTCCTCCATCTTGCTCCCCTCTCTCCCCCCGTTTCGTTTTTTGTCCCTCACACCAGTGACTCGCCCTTCCCTTTTTTTCCTTCGTACCCTTTTTTTAGGCTTTCCTCTTAGGGTTACTTCCCACTTTTTCATCTGTCGTTCCATCCACTGATGCATTGTCTTTTTCTCGGGGGACTAACTTGTCTCGGTTTGTTTTTTCTCAAACCTTTCAGGGCACCTCCAGCGAGTCGACCCCGGACAGCGACGAATACAACAGTCGACGCCAATTGCAGTGCGACGAACGTCTGCCGACCACCACCAGCAACAGCAGCGACGACGAAGCGTGTCTGCAAGCGCTGCAAGCCGCCGAAGGACAATCCGGTGGCGGGCTCCGGTTCCAGCTCACCCCCCACACCGTTCGTCACCGCCCCTCGTTCGGCGTCACGTGGCAAACGTTCCGGGGACGCCTGCAAGGCCAACCCAGCTCGGGCGACGCCTCGGAGGAAGTGATTCGCGCCCTGGGCCAAGCCATCCGAGACCAATCGCAGCCATGGCACGACGACGATTATTTGCAGATCTACCTGGGATCCAACCGCTTGGCCAATAATTTTACCAGTGCCCGCATCCGGGTGAGAGATTGGCGCCACACGCAAGGGCCCGCGCGGCATCTGCTCGACCAGATGACGGCCCTCTTGAACTCCAACGAGGAGTTTGCTGTGGACGATACCTTTGTGGTGGACTTGACCTACGTGCGCCCACCGCGCGGCACGGGCCGTCGTAAACTCGGGTCCGACGCCTTTGCCAATATGGTCAAGAGCAAACACAGTTGTATCGAGATCACCAACAAGGACGATCTCTGCTGCGCACGAGCCCTAGTGACGGCGCGAGCCTACCGACACAAAGACGAAAGTGCCCTTCACCTGAACGAATACAATATCCTCCGGCAAGGGCGCGATGTCCAAAAGACCAAAGCCCGCGACTTGCATCGATTGGCCAAAGTGCCCGAAGGGGCTTGCGAGTTGCCCGAAATACGCGAGTTCGAAAAAGTGTTGCCCGAGTACCAAATCATCGTGGTCTCGGCCGATCACGGGAATGCAATCGTGCATTGCGGCCCGACCGCCCTGCACCAACTCATACTCTTAGCCCACCAGGGCCATTACGACGTCATCACCAAATTGAACGCCTACTTTGGCGTGAACTACTTTTGCTTGCGGTGCCGCAAAGGGTACAAGACCAAGGACTTTCGTCATCATCGTTGTCCCGGCTTCAAGTGTTACTGTTGCCAACAAACGGACTGCTCGGACTTTGCCACCCACCCTGCCCGAGACGCCGCCACCGAACTGTGTCCCCATTGCCATCGCCGTTTCTTTGGCCCTCGGTGCCTCGAACTGCACACCATCCGTTCTCCCAGCGGCGAGAGGGTTCACCCGCTGACCTTCGACAACGTGTGTGCCCAACTACGGTGCTGCGGACACTGCGGACGCACCTTCAAGAGCTACCAGGCCTTTCTCAGCCACCTCTGCGGCTATCAACCGTGCTACAATTGCGGGCTCACGGTAGACGTGTGGGACCACAAATGTTTCATCCAGGTCATCCCCTTACGTCGAGGCCCCAAACGCAAACACGCCACCACCAGTTCCGGCCAGCCGGGACCTGAGGAACAGGCCGTCGTCAAAATCTTTTTCGATTGCGAGTGCATGCAGGAAGGCGGGGAGGCGCATCGCGTGAACCTGGTGTGTGCCGAGACCAGTCTGGACGATCAACGCTACCAGTTTCCATCCATGCAAGAGTTCATGGCCTGGGTGTGGAACCTGAGAGTGACGGACCCCGGACGCCGCCCGTTCGTGGTGATCGCGCATAATTTCCAGGGGTACGACGGGTACCTGTTGCTCGAGGAACTGTACCGACAAGCGGTGGTGCCTTCGCAGATCGTCAACGGGGCCAAACTCCTGAGCGTCGCCATTCCCGGGGGCATCAAATTCATCGACAGTCTGAACTTTTTCCCCATGGCCCTCGCCTCGTTTCCCCAGACCTTCGGCTTGCGGGAAGAAGCCAAGGGGTTCTTTCTCCACTTCTTTAACATCCCCACCTTGCAGCAGTACGTGGGGGCCATGCCGGCCCGAGAGTATTACGATCCCGACGGCATGAAACCGGCCCGTCGCGCCGAGTTCGAACGATGGTACGCGGAGCAAGTGGCGTCCAATCGCGTGTTCAACCTGCAAGCCGAACTGTTGAAATACTGCCAATCCGACGTCCGGATCCTGAAACAGGCGTGTACCCTCTTCGAGCGCGAATTCAGGGGTATTTGCGGGTTCGACCCCTTCGAACAATGCATCACCATCGCCTCGGCGTGCAACGTGGCCTACCGTCAGCATTGGATGCGGCCCCGAACCCTGGCCGTCGAACCCCTGCACGGCTGGCATCCGCAGATCCGTCAATCGAGAGCCGCCTTGGAATGGTTGTACCACCTAGAACGCATCCTGCCCCCACCCACGGACGGGGAACCGCGCCTACGCCACAGTCGGAACGGAGGCGAAGTGCTGTTCCGGATCGGCGAGCATCGCTACCACGCGGACGGTTACGACCCGCGCACCGGGTTCGTGTACGAATTCTACGGCTGTTTCTACCACGGCTGCCCCGAATGTTTTCCTCAACGACACCAGCGGCACGCCAAACTCGACGGGGCCACGCCCCACGAACTGTACACGCGCACGGTCCAACGGGCCGAACGCATTCGTCAAGGCGGTCACGTGATGGTCGAAAAGTGGGAGTGCGAATGGGACGCCCAAAAGAGGGAGGATCCCGAGTTGCGCCTGTGGGCCGAGACCCTGGATCTGGTGACGCCCCTGGATTCCCGCGAGGCCTTTTTCGGTGGACGGACCGAAGCCGTGCGAGCTCACTGCCAGGCCCAGCCGGACCAACACATCTTCTACGACGATTTCACGTCGCTGTACCCGTGGGTCAATAAGAATTGCAAGTACCCCGTGGGTCATCCCGTCATTCACACGCAGTTCACCTGCCAGACCCACGAAGACTGGGACCGACTGGTACGCCATCAATCGTATGGGTTGGTCCAATGCCGCGTCCTGCCGCCTCACTACCTGTTTCATCCCGTGCTGCCCGTCCGCGTGGCCGGCAAGTTGTTGTTTCCCCTGTGCGTCCGATGCGCCCGAGACCAAGTGCCCCTGCCCTGGACGGAACGCACCTACATCTGCGACCACACCCCTCGAGAACGAGCCTTCTCGGGGACTTGGTGCACGCCCGAATTGGTGCTGGCCCTGGACCAAGGGTACGTGATCCTGCACATCTACGAACTGTGGAACTTTCGTACGACCTCCACCACCCTGTTCAGGGATTACATCAATACCTGGATCAAGGTGAAACAGGAAGCCGACGGCTGGCCCTCGCCCGAGGTGGCCAAAGATCCCGGCTTGCAGATCGAGTACCTGGAAGAGTTTCGGCGCGTGGAAGGGGTGATCCTCGACCCGGCCAAGATCGAACGCAACGAGGGTCGACGCACGTTGGGCAAATTGATGGCCAACAGTTTCTGGGGCAAATTCGGTCAACGCACCAACAAGACCCAGGTGACCACCTGCAAGGACCCCGAGACCTTCTTCGACATCTTTCTGGACGGCGAACGCGACATCCATCGCATCCTGCCGGCCGGCGAACAGATGATCGACGTGTACCATTCGTTCAAAGAAGACGTGGGCGAACTGGGTACCAACACCAACATCTTCGTGGCCGCCTTCACCACGGTCCACGCGCGCGTCAAATTGTATCACGACGGACTGCTCCCCCTGCACACCCGCGTGCTGTACATGGACACGGATTCCGTGGTGTACCTGGCCACCCAAGGCGAGACCCACCTGCCGCGTGGACGTCTCCTGGGTCAATTCAAGGACGAACTGAAAGGCGACGTCATCGACGAATTCGTGGCCGGCGGTCCCAAAAATTACGCCTACCGCACCCGTTCGGGACAAGAATGCTGCAAGGTGCGCGGCTTCACCCTGGACGCCCGGGGACAAGCCGTCCTGAACTTCGAGAGCGTCCGAAACCTGGTGCAACTAGACATGACCGAGCCTCTGGATCGTCCCAGAACGCTGGCCGTCGACAACCCCCATCACATCGTACGGAACGTCACCGACAAGACGCTCCACTCCGTGCCGCAACGCAAGACCTACTCCATGGTCCAAGACAAACGAGTGTTGGATGCCAGGACCGGCATGACGTACCCCTACGGTTATCGGCCCAGTCAGGACATCGTGGACGACATGGTGTTGTCGGTCCTGTTCTCGGACATAGACTCTCCCTTAGAAGATTATGAGGAGGACTTGCCTTTTGTTCCAGAACCGTGCCCATGTTGAAAACAAATGATAGGGACGCCCCACACCACTAAGGTCGGGCACACGTTCCCGCTTGTAACACGTTAGGGTTCAAGTGTAATAAACCCGAGTTTGAAACCTGTGCCAAAAACGTTTATTTTTTTTTTCCTTTTTTTGAATTCCCTAGGGAATACCCACGTGACTGTCCGGGGGGACCTCGACCCGGCCCCACCCTAGCCCGGGGGTCAGGGCCCAGGGAAAGCGCCGTTGACCCCCCCAAAACACAAGTGTCTCTAGTGCGCATGCGCCCTCGCTAATTCTCTCTTAGGGTTCCCACATGGACGAGCCATCCCCTTCGTCTTCAAATATAAGAGCCCTTAGGGTTAGAGTTAGGGTAACAGGGCTCTAGGGTTAGGGTTACAGGGCCACACAATAACGTGACACACTTTTACAACACGTCATCACCCCTATGACGTCATCCCCTCTTTGAAATTAGTTGACAGCTCAAATTTGATTGACAGGTCACATGACCTTCTGCTGCACGCTGATTGGTCCATTTGTACCACGTGACCTATATCCGGCTTTCTGATTGGTCTGTACCGTAGTGGCCCCCCTTACTACTCAGAGCCGTGTCATTATTTTTTTTCACATTAGTACGAGCCTTTGCCTCTTTTCTTTTCAAGGCCAAAACAACTTTATTGGTCTTATTGATATTCACGTCCAACATCTCGCCTCACTTTGCCGAATTTGTGGGGATGAAATTTAAGATCATAAGCGCAAGATAGATACTAACTGCTTTGTTTCTGAAATTCACCAAATCTGGAAAGATTTAATTTTGCTGGATTCTCCAAATGTTCATCCACCGTTAAAAAACAGTCAAAGAAAGACGGCAAATTTCAAGTGTAAGTGATGTATTTCGCTACTCATTGAACATGCACTGATTATCTGGGATAAAATTAAAACATTGCAGGTACTTCAGCAAGCAAGGAACACCAGATGCGTGTGAAGTCAACACGAAACAACACCAAAAAACAAGCAAGAAAAATTAATAAATTTGAACTACTTCTTATTCTTGTTATGATGAATGGTCCTTTGATTCTTGTCCCGTAGAAGTTAATAGATAGTACCAATCTTGTTTTGTACGATCTCAACAAATTTTCACACTCTCTCTAAGGCTATTTTTACACAGGAGCAGTTTGCTTCTATCAAAAATCTTGCAAGCCACAGCTGCAAGCCATGCCGGTGAAGCCACGACCTCTGCGATCGGTCCGGAATCAGTTCGAACTCCCCAATGATTCCTTGCAATGAATAATGCTCTTATTCTCTCACATGAATTGTTTTCTTTGAAATATTAAATGTGAAACCTAGACGAGTACTGTTAGCTCATCTTTAATTCTGTCCGCCGACTCCGTCCGTTGTTTTGAAAATTTTTGATCACTGGGGCGATGTTTTGATTTGTTTGTTGATAAACACAAGCGCGCCTTCTCATTGGTTGAAAAGTGTCGCGTGTTCAGCTGGCCCTGTCCTTAAATTTAGGGATATTCCGGACTGTTAATTCATAAGATAAAAACGACATTTCTTATGTCACAGAACTGTGACAATTGACCATTCCTGCAGTATTGTAAAAATATTCTTTGTCTCCTTGCCCTAACTTTTCATGAGTTAGGGCTAGGAAACAAAGGAAATTGAGAATCAACTGAGATGAAATCAAAATTAACCTGAAACCAACTTTGACCTGCAACATTTAAAATCAGCGTTACATAGTAACAACATTCTTTAGGTCCCAAACAGTATAACAGTATGGTAAGACCTTTATACTTGCTCATACAGGTATAGGTACAATAATAATTCTGACCAGTTTGTTTTAACAATTTCCCTAACCATACATGTAAATGTATACCCAAAGCTGAAGACATCTGAGGTTGGGCAAGGGGGATATTTTCCATCATACAGAGCTGGATCAATATGTGTATGACCTCACTTGAGACTACTTCTTTTGCTTGCTGTTGCAGGAATTTAGACTCTAAATGATTCTATTCTGCATGCTTTATTAAAGACTATTATTTTAGGTTGCCAATTACCCAAGTTACCTTTAGAAATCAAGACATTATCACCATTAATGTCATATATAAAATCCCACTCAAATAATGATGATAAAATCCCTCACAACAAAGCATTAAAATGTGTAACCATGATGTTTCAGTGACACATCTACTTCCAGTTTAACAGATCGAGCCCTTTATAAATGGTAACTAAGAGTTTGATTCCCTGTCATTCCAAGAACATCTTGACTAGTATGAGCATGTTATGCAACCCTACAAAAAACACACGCCAAAAAACAAAGGGGAATGCCTTATGACAAATGCACAATAAAAGATTGGCGTCATCAATAACAGCTTCTTCTTTTGTCAGTTCAGAATAACTGTGACATTAACTGATTCCCCACTTTAGCAGGGGCACCCAACGACAATTTTCGGGAAAATATCTGTTCGGAAGACGATTTGAGGTCTAGAATTTTCGGAACATTTGTTGTAAAATTTCTTGCTTGCCTGCCTCTCCGAGGAGTTTCGAACATCTAAAAAATGGTAAAATTGCCCATTTTCAACGGATTTTTACCCTAAAAAGATCACCTAGAATTTTCAAGAGCCTTTTTTCTGGCTGAAATTTTTGAACGGGTAAGTTTTGATCCCTATAATTTTCGGATCACTAGACTTTCAGCTAGGAAATCCGAACAGATGAAAAATTTATAGGGGATAAAAATAGGCCCATATCCACCGATTAAATACTAAAACACGTTTAACAATGCTACGTTTGAGGGGTTTTGAACTATATTCTTGTTGGGTGCCCCTGCTTTAGTGACAAAGACAATTCAGCTTAAAAACTTCAAACCTCCCCTGACCTAATATAATATCATCATTGTTGTGGCTGTCTTTGAGAACTACAAGTTGGTCTTGCCTTATTCCTTTAATTACTTTTAATTTGCTGTGAGACACTAATAATTCTTTCAGAGTTCGATATTGTTGTTTGAAAATTCCCATTGCCTTATTATTTGAATCCAAAGTGCTTTAACTGGCACTACATTAATTTTGGTCGTAAGGTCACTGATTCTTTCTGTGATCATTTCCCACAAATGATTAGTTTTAGCTATAAGATTTGCTTTCTTTTTTATAGTTTTCTGCCTAAAACAAAGACACAGAAAACTTAAATAAAATCTGTGACGCCAAAATTTACCTACAAGTCACCAGTCATGTGTGAAAATACAAACTTTTCTGAAGGAAACATGTAAATTTGTACAAAAACTTAATGACTCCTTCGTAAGACAACCAAATGACAAGGAATCTTACTTTTGTTTTGAGTTTTATGTCTACTGTAAAGTGATCAATCAATGCCTAGAAGTAGGATTTCTTAGCATGAAGCTAAGTAGCCTGAGATCATGCCCTCTCCCTATTTAGTATTATCCCTTTATGTCTCTCCCGGGAAGAGGGCATAGATACATTTCTTTGTCGGATCACATGTAAAAAAGCCAGAATCTGGACTTTTCTCTGATTGGACAGGAAACAATACGGATGATTTGCGCTGTTCCAATGGGCCAAAATGCTGCCATCCGTTAGTTGTTGATTTCAGTTTGCATTTTTGCTTGCGTAATGAGCAGTGAATACACATACGAATTCGTTGCAAAATTTCTGCCGGTTCAGTTTTCTTGAATTTGAAGAATGCCTAAATAGGAATTTCATCCATTGAAATATTTTCCATCTCATTGTATACTAAAAAGTTGCAGTCAAAAATTCACCGATCATTTGAATTCAATTTGATACCGGCTTCAAGTTACAGAAGCAACAAACGGGTTCACTTTTCAAATAATCAATTCATGAATGGAATCTTGACCTTGTTTGACTGTAATTCCTCCTTCAGAAACCTGCGAATTATTCTGAGCGATCTTCGCTTTCACAACACCTTTCACTTCATAAAATATGGTGCTTCAGCCTAATTTTTTTTTCACTGCTTTCGGCAGAGAACGAAATCAACGAGCTTTAACCTGTAAATTCTTTATTATTTGTAGCTGTTAAATAAAGGTACGGCAGCTCCAGCTAGCAGTATTTCATCACAAAAACAACCCATTTAAATTTTTTTTTTTAGGAAGCACCATCTGAACATGGACGTACTTAAAAATGTTCTTTTCCCTAAAATTGATTTCAAAAGAGACATTAAAATTTGATTCCTGTCTGGTAAACGCTTATTGGCTAATAACACGACAGGTCAAGCAGACGTTACATTATGTAAATTAGGGGGCGGTTAACGAATTGTTAAATGAATGTATCAGGCGTTATTTTTTTGCCCTCTCGAGCCAAAGAAACAGAGAAGCAAAAAAAAAATAATAATAACGCCTGATCTCAGGTTAAGCATGAAGCTTTGCACCTAACTGGAATATACAGTACCTTGATCACCTTACTAAATCATTACAGTAAAAACCCGCAACTAAGAACCCAAAAATTAAGAACCTGTTAGCCTACAATAATATTGGTCATTTATACCCCCTATAAACAAGAACCTATTAAGCCTAGCACAGCACACCATTATGCATTGTTTTTTGTCCAGGATCAAGAACCCATTTTAAGAACCTAAATAGCCTGTTAACTACCATTTATATAAGAACCTGTTAAGGCTAACTCCTAAAAATGTAGGTTCTTAGTTGCGGGTTTTTACTGTATGTGCAGAAAAAATTAGTCGAAATGTGCTATTGATCATTTTAAGCATTGCACTGTACTGTAAAGTGATCAATAAATGCCTAACAGAAAGGATTCCTCAGCATAAAGCTTTGCACCTAACTGGCATATACCTTGATCGCTAGCTATCGCTTACTATATTTATGTAAATGAAGCAGCCAAACATTCTATTAAAAATTTGTGGAAAAATAAAGAGACTTGAAATAATTATTGGAACTGATTTGCAGTTACGGTCAAAAGATTGAGCTGAGAAAACAAAATTGTCTCTCTTCAACTATCATAAAGTCCACGGATACTCGTGAAGCTGTTGATTTATCA